GCTAAAGTTTTTAGAAAATTGAAATAAACAAAGAAAACCCAGGTCAACACCCGACCCAAACAAAACCAAAAATTATTTACCTTTTTCTTTTGTATTTGGTGTTTACATGATAGGCAAAATAGCATGAATTTGGGTAGTTAATTCAGAACTTATGCGTGACCATGACCTTTAAATACTCCTAACGAATTATTTTTCTTGTTACGATTAAATATGCATTGTCGTTGTTGGTTTTTTTGTTATTGTTGTTGTTGTTTTTGTTGTTGTCATATTGATATTTATTATGCTTTTTAGGTTTATTAAGCTTGTATGAATTCTATTATGTAACATCCAAATTTATTTAGCGAGATCAAGAATGATGTTTCAAAGAAGATAGAATTCTTGCAAATTACAATCATGGTTTCAGCCAATGCACGTAATTTTCTTTGCCTTTATCAATCCATCACTTCTTTTTTTAGTCATACATTCCAAAAAAGTTCTCAGGAAAATTATCAAATTATAAAATTTATATCAAATTATAAAATTTATATTTATATCCAAACTTAAATGTTAATTTGAATTATATCAATCTAATATTAAAAAACTTATTTAAACTTTAAAAATTTATTAAATTTCCCAAAATACCCTTCGCAAGTTAAATCCTAAATTAAAGATTAGGCTAGGTATCTTGTATTTCCGTATATCATCTTCGTCGTACACTAAACATCTCTACGTTCACTCTCATTTGTAAATACGGTTTTGTAGCTCTATGCAAGTGGTGTCTGTTGATATGATATGTATTTTTGTGAACATGAAATTCAGGAATTGATATTGGGTTTTTGTTATTTAGGAATAAGTAATATACGTAAGTCGTAAGATCTCTAGATTTGCAGTTTTCCATTGAGTTGGTGCCGAGAAACTCCGAAATTCGATTGTCTAATAACCACAATGAAAAAAAAAGACATTTAATGAAATTGAAGGTAAATAATAATGTATAATCCATCTTGCTGGTAAAAACTTACTCAATCATAGGGTAGTGAACACTTATCTCTCGTCTTGGTGTATCATCATCATCATCCATCAAAAAGGCTGACAAGAAACTCTTTGTTTGCGAACCAAATAATTGAATGCAGAACAACAATTAATCAATACATAAACCAGAACTGGTATAAAGAATTGATACATCTGTTTGCGATCGAGAAGAAGATAACGAGTTTAGTCGATAATTTAAGCATACATGCGATGAGGAATAAATGGTGGCAACAAGTAAATGACGTGCATGAACCTTTGTAATATTTAATTCGGTTTAATGTTAATTAATTTGGTTTAATGCTAATCTTAAATAATGAATGATATTTTAGTACAATCACATGGAATTGTGATTTCTTTATAACTTTTTTTTATATTAAATTAATTTAAGCCTAATAAAATTATGAGTTTGGATATGGATGTGTATTTTATAATTTGATAAGGATATAGAAGTAATTTTGATTTCTACAAGGATATAGAAGTAATATTTAAAGTTTAGAAGGATATGAATGAAATTTTCCTTTAAAAAGATGCATCATTTATTTATCGTCATGATTTCTGTTCAAAATAATACATGGTTTCATCTTCTTGTCCCTATTAAATAAAAATATTTTTTTCACATGTCATTCTCTCATACATTATGTCATATGTCGTTTTGTCATAATTTTGAGATATATTTATTTTCTACTTGTCATTTATTTCATTTTTAATTTTTCAATATACAATTAATTTAGTTTTTATAAATTAAACATGTCATAATGACTATATTAATTTCAAAATTCAAACTTCAATTTCAATTTTAAATAAATTTACAGTTTAAACCTTCGTATTTAACATTTTGCTATAATTAACACGTTTAACACACACGTTTCACAACTAAACACATAATTTTAATTTATTTTTTTGCATTTTTTTTTAAAAAAATTCATAATTTTACTTATTTCAAATTTCAAATTCAAATAAACTTACCGTTCAATCATTTGTATTTAACATTTTGTTTTAATCAACCCGTACATTATACGTCACAACTAGTTAATATATTATAAGATATCTTTATATAGTTTTTAGCATATAATTTTTCTTTAACATTATTATTCCTATTAAAAGGTGTTCTGATTATTTTATTATTTTAAAATCAGTTAAAAACTATTTATGTACAACGTTAAAACTATGTAAATTTTTTGAACAAATTGTAAAAATATCTCTACAATTTGTTACTTAATTGGTTTTAGCCTTTCAATGAATTTCTTTTATAGTTGTTTTTATTGATATTTTTCTTTTAAATTAATTTTG